GTTTCTGAGGGAAAATATCATTTAAGTGGAAGCAATGTTTTTCTGGATTTGTATGGATTTTGACAAATCTGTGTCTTGATAAAGACCTCTTTGTTGTACCACTCTGTTTTGCAATGAAGAAATTGGGGAGCTTATTTGGAAATTAGTTTTATAGGAATTGCATGAAATCAACAGGTTGTGTCAAACTCAAACTGAATTCATTACAGATTTGCCAAGTAAAACATTTTCCATCCGCTGAAATACTTTCAAGGGGGAGGGAGGCATGACTTCTTCTTCATCTAATTTCATTTTACAGCAGATTTTTGCCTTTTTATCCCAGCTAGGGATGAAAAATATGTCAAGGTCTTGAATGCCTTTTTTTTTCCCTTCTGAGGATAGGAAAATGTGTATTGCGGGCGTCCGTTTATCCCGAGCTGGGCGACAGCAGTGATTGTGAGCCTGCCAGGCGAGGGTCCACGGGAAGTGAGATTGAGTGGGGATTTAGAGGACTGAGATATTAAGGCAGGAGGGGATGACTTTCAAAAGGAACCTGTCAAGAAATACTCCTTATTCTCAGATGTGTGAGATGGTGATGGCCGTGGGAGGGGAGGAGGGTGAGATAGTCCTGTGTTGAGCTGCAGGCATCTCTCAGGCCAAGTTTTAAGGTCATATGTAGTTACACTCATTTTCATCGCAATCCATCTGCCAGCTCTTGAGAAGATGCCTGGTGTCTCAAAATTGGCACGTCTAACACAAGCCATAGCAGCCCCTTTTCTGCATTAAATTAGCAGAGGAAATCAGTGTAAAATGCACACAATGTGTTTGCAGATGGGTCCGTTCTTCCCAGGGGGCAGCAGGGAAAAGGAGGAGAGCTTCCCTCACCTCCTCCTCCCATGGATGCCTTCTTCCCTTCTCAATTTTTCTCTCACGGATGGGACATCTAAATATATTTTAAACACTATGGCTCTGTTCCAACCAGCCATGGAGCTGCAAAGATAGCGCCTAATGACAGGGATGAGGGAGAAGGAACACAGAAGGGATGTTGTTAGAGAGGGCAGGGAAAAATGTGGTTCATGCTTACTCTACAGAGATGTAAAAATGTTTGCATGGAAGTAGCCTAAAGAGGTTTTTATTTTATAAGTCAAATCCCAGAGCCATCTTAACATATTAACCTTGTACACATCAAAATTTTCTGGGGGGAGACCCCACTGTTTCCTACTAGGTTAATTTTATGGTCTTTTATGGCAAATGCAATCAAAAAGGGATTTTTAGTGGTCCCTCAGTTCATTTTTCTCTCTTCTCTTCTTCCACGACCTGCCTATTCCCCCTTCAGCCTTTTTCTGGCCATGAACATGGGTTCAGGGATCAACCCACAGGGTGTTACAGTGCAGACCTCTCTCACCACATTCCAGAAGACCTTGATCTGGGCAACTTCAGCAGTTTTCCAGCCCCACTTTCAGCTTCCAAAGGTGTGCAGAGGGGAAGGGACCCCATTAAAAATCCCCTTTCCTATTACTGGTTTAAAATATTCAGATTGCTGTATTTTTGCTGCAAAAAATTAGTAGTTTTGCATCATATAGAGAAAAAGTCCTTTCCCCCCCTCTCACTCCCCCACGTCTGGTGCTTGCTCAGAGCATGCTGGAAGCAAGACAGAAGTTGATGGCTCAGTTGCAAGACCTTGGATGTATTTGGTTTCTGTGTATGCTGTAGGGAACAATCCTGCACTGACAGGTGGGTGGAAGGGATAATCTAATCGGTCACTTCCATCTCTCTAATTATCCCTCACATTATGCAGACTTATTGTGTATTTTTCAGGCAGGAATGGGAATCAAGTTACCTTGTAGTGGAACTGCGTGAAAATCCACTCAGAAAACATACACCTGGTTTACTCAAAAGCCTTTCAAGATCTCTTCCCATAAAGGATTTCAAAGCCTTATTTTGAACAAGGCTGAAATGTTTTCTAAGTCACCTTGACCTTTCTTAGTTTCACGTTGAAATTAGAAATGATTTGGAAATCTACATGCCTCCAAGCATCTGGGGTGTATCCAGATTTCAAAGCCATGGAGCTGAACCCAAACCTGAGATTTGAAGCCTCTTTGTAGTGCTCAAAATCTGATTAAGGAGCTGAGTTTTGCAACTGTTGTCCAAGGCTCCTGCAAACAAGCTTGCTGCAACCTCAACCCTCACTGACTCCAGACAAATTCCATGTACTTGTTCGCCACCGTCACACTTTCTTAGATGATAAAAAAAAGGTCTGGAGAAAAATCTAAATAAGTTGAGCAGCAAGTGAATTGTGCAATTTTCAATACAAGAAACTGGAAAAAAATGAATATATTTCCATTTCAGATCTTTCTTGGACAAAAGCACCCTATAGCTCATCTTTTAACAAGGTAGTTCAGTTTCTCCTGCCTGGAAAATTAATTATCAACTTCAAGTAAATGATAAATAATAGCAAATTATAAAGACGAGATCTCTTTTATGAGAAAAGAAGCAAAAGTATTAACCTTCTTTATCAGTGGGGAGCAATGTATCATACTTCAAAGGCTGTTTAAGGTCCCTTAAGGATTCCAAGGAAAGGGAAATTCTGCCATGTATGCAAAATCCTCCAGCTCCTGAAGCCTTGCAGATATAACTGAGCTGTTTATTACTGATTTTTCCCAGAACAGTCTTGGAGCCAAGCAAAAGCTGCACCCTCCCTGCTGACGATGAGAATGAGCTTTCTTACGCTGCAGAAATCAGGCTGCAATGTTGTGCTGCAGCTAAGCTGGGTTGATCAACCACCACTTCTTAGATGACTCATTTTGGCAACAAACATGACCATTCTTTGGTGGTTCCTCCTTGCTCATGTATTCATTCTTTTCTGCAACATAATATTAATATAATATTCTGTGATTCTGTGATATAATATAATATTAGTCTTAAGAGTCTCTCAAGGCGTCTTAGCTGGTACGTTTTCTTGGATAGGACCATGCATGAAGTTAGCTGTGGTGGTGACTTTGTGGCTGGTGGTTACCTCTTTGGCATCTTGGTCCTAACAGCATGGCTGATCAAATGTTGCAAAGAAAGGATGCAGTGGTTTTCATTATTCAATTACAGTCCCTGGCTTTGATACCACTTGCTTCCAGTCACACCAAAAATACGCTTTGCACTGTGTGATTATGTGGGCAATGAGATGTCTCAGCAGAAGTACTCATGTTTAGATGGGGAAGAGTGGTAGTTATGGGTAGACAACAGCATTTGGTGTTTGTTTTTTGTCTCTTTTAGTTTCTGTCACTCAGGAAGAGCACAAGAAACAATATTATCAACTTTGGCTTTGACTTGCTTTATAATGTGTATGATGACTTAGTAATTTTTGGAACTGTTATCAGGTGTTCCATGCCTTTGTCATAGGTACCAAACAATGGTGAATAATGAATAGCAAATAAATCTTCTACAAGTGACCCAGAAATTAAAACTGAGGGAACATCAGAAAAAATAGCAGCTTTCTGTTCCTCCCACCTGCAGTGGAGGAATTTTCCCAGGGCGATGTACTCATAGCTGGTGCCCATTTTGGCATTTGGGCCAGATGTGGGTTTTTTGGGGCTTTTTCTCAGTTCATTCC